TAAACCCCAACGTGTTAGCCCCTTGTGGTCACATTCCATTCCCAGGCCTGGCTGATGAGGTGGTCTGGGAAGCATTCTGGCTGGAAGAGATCACATTGCTAAATGGGGACGTGAAAAGGAATGTGGTTTCCTGAAAGTTTCCAACAAGTACATGAGAATGGAGCTCTTGAAAGAGCCTAGAGCTGGAAGCACTTCCCTTCTGAGAAACACTTCCAACACCCCTACGGAGCCAAGTGCAATAACAGTTCTGACATTATTATTACAAAGGGGAAAAATCATTCATGCAGACTTGCTGCTGTAATTTGTGTATTTATAAGCCACACCCACTTTGCAACCTAAAAGTCATGTGGTTTAAAATGGAACCCACACAAAAGAGGGGGTTGTTAGAGCCATTCAAGCAGTTTCGGCCCAGTGTCTCTGAGGGTGTCAGGGATAGCTATTTTTTAAGTGACTTTGAACAATTTTTTTAATTGGCCTCTTTCTCCCTAAATGCAGTATATATCCTCAAAGATTTAACAAAATTTTCCCCTTTTTGACCACAATTTAAAGTTCCAGACATGGGCAAAGAACTCATGTAATAAGAGCACATAGTTCAAGGGAACTTAATACAATAATCGTGTGCTCAGGAAAATTTTCTGCAATTGCAGCTCATTTTTTTTTTTTCCTTTAGTGAATCTGCTTTATTTAGAATGAACCAATGGCTCCCAGAAGTCCCATGGCCTCCCACCACGCACATGTGTCATCAGTTACATTTGAACCAACTTCCCCAGTGGTCATGGGCAGAATACTCCTTTTAGAGACACAGCTTACACATTGATCTTGTGGCTTCAGTGCAGTAAGAGGAAGATGCTTTTGCATTGTGGCAAATATACATACCATAAAATTTCCTTTGTAACCCTCTTTATAAGCGTACAGTTCAGTGGTATTAAGTATATTAACATTGTTTTTCAACTATTACTACCATCCATCTCCAGAACTTTTTTATCTTTCCAAACTGAAACTCTGTCCCTATTAACTAATACTCCCCATTCTTCCTTCCCTCCTGCCCCTGGCAACCACCATTTCACTCTCTGGTCCCATGACTTTGACTATTTTAGCCATCTCATGTAAGTGAAATCAAACAATACCTGAACTTTTGTGTCTGACTTATTTCAGTCAACATGTCTTCAAAGTTCATCTGTGTTACAGCAGATAACAGAATTATATTTCTTGTTAAAGCTGAATAATATTTTATTGTATTTTGCTTATTCATTCTTCAAAACCATTGGGATTTTGATAGATTGCTTTGTATGCCCTGGGTAGAATTGACATATGTTACTCAATCTATCAACATAAATTGTTACTTTAGTTAAGTCTTCTAACTTATGAACATGGAATTTCTTTGCATTTATTTCTGACTTCTTTAAATTCTTTCAGCAACATTTTGTAGGTCTTTCATGCCCTTGGTTAAGTTAGTCTTAAGTAATTCCATTAGTTTTGATGCTTTTACAAACGGGACAGTTTTCTTAATTTTCTTTTCAGTTTTCTTACTGTTAGTATATAGAGATACAACTACCTTTTTGTGTGTCGTGGATAATTTTTAAGTGTTAAGAGGTTAGGTATCAACAGGTTATATTACTAAAAAGAAACAAGAGTCACAAGACATCATTATACTCACCTTCTTTACAGGTGTCTATATTTTGGTTCCCTGAGAGTTTTGATCAAACATCTATTAGAGGGCAAAGGATGAAAAAAGACCAAAAAAACTGCCCAACGTAAGAAACTGAACTCAAGAGAAAAATGAGGTATATGAAAAATAAGACAATTTGGTGTCTGGTTGAGGGAAATTATCATGACAAATAAGAATTTATTCATTTAATAATGAAGATTTGTGTAGCAGGCACTATCCAGACAGTGGAGATACAACAGTAAACAGAACAAAAATATCCTACCTCCTTGAGCCTATAGTCTGGGGTAAGAACAAGATCAAAGTAAATTAAAGAGTACGTTGAATGATGACACAAGGTATGAAAATAACAAAGCAAGGTTTCTCAGAGGGAAGTACATCTGTCTGACGGCATGGTCAGAGATGAGTAGAGGAGAAACTAATGCTGTAGCAGGCCTCTGAAGGTTGTGTTTGGACTCAAGCAAAGAGAAACTAGGAGGAGCCAGTATGAAAGTGGTGCCTCAGCACACAGTGAGGCTGCCAGTGATTTCTGAACTTTGGGCACTAACAGTGGGCCACTCACATTGTATATAATCTACTCTACTGTGTCTATATTAGTCAGTGTTTTCTTCAGAGACGCAGAAACAAGATGATGTGTATACAGAGAGGGGAGATTTATTGTGAGAAATTGACTCACGTGATTATGGATGCTGATCAGTCCAAAATCAGCAAGATAGGCCGGGAGGCTGGAGACCCAGGAAAATAATGCTGCACTTCAAACCTGAGGTTGTGGGGCTCTCTGAGAAATGTTAGGAGAAAATTACAGTACAAATTTTTGACAGTTTATGAGAGTACTTCTGAAGGGATCCCAACCTCCCCTGCTTTCAAGAGGTCTGGGGTTGTAAACCAGCTCGATTCTGAGAATTGATTGAGTGACATGGCCCTCTCTCTTCACAATTCAGGTTATATTTATGTTCACTTGACTTAGAACTTTTCTGTGCAAACAGATAAAGTAATAATTTAGCACCACTGGTCTGCACAAATAGAATTATTCTGTTTATGGCTTTGAGTCTGCTGTCCAATTTGGTAAGCATATTGACCATATTTTTTGTGACTGAGTGTTTCTATTTGGCCTCTGCCACCTGGGATTCAGTTACTCCCCTTGCATTTATGTTTCTCAATTGAGAGACCTTAATCTTGTTGTAGGTCTTTCCTGCAACCACTGAGATCTTTAATAGTTTTGGGTTCCCTCATAAATTTTTTTCTCATAGATTTGCAAGGTATGCCTCTGAACACTTACACTGGTAAGAGTAAGTGTTATCTGTCATCTTAAAGGACAGATCCGCTCAAACAGCCCCATCTCCCTAAACCTCTGAATGCCTTTCCCACTATTTCCAATTCATTCACTGTAGACTATCTTTTGATTCATATTTTTGTCAACCAACCAACTAAACTGTTGGAGCTTTCTAACTCCCATGAAGTGCATAATATCTGATTAACAAACCCATATCGATAAATCTGGCCTGATCTAACTTCTAGTTCCTTTCATCATTATTCCATTACCATAATACCCAACATTTCCTCCATTCTTTTCTTCTTTTTAAGAGGAAATTTCCATGACTATGAGATTCCTGGGATTGATATTTAAGTAATGTGATTTCTTAAATTTGGTAATTCACACTGAAGAAAGGAAAGAACCGAGCAAAAAATGGTACAGACAGATTTGCTCACAGGTAGGTTCACCAGGTGTTGGACCTGTATACATAGAACAGTGAGGTCACTGACTACCTCATTCCTATTAGCAAAGAGGGCACTAGGATAAGAAGAGAACTTGTTTAATGATATGACAGCAGTGGGACTCAACTCCAAGTCTGCCTGACTCTGAAAATACTTTTTTTCAAAATGTGGGATTGGGGCCCCCCTGGTGGCTTCGAGATTAAGTCTCAGTGCTGAAAACAATATAGCCTGAGTTTGATCCCCAGCCAAGGTGGTGACCCACATGGCACAGCAGACCTCTCCTGTCTCACCTACTGCTCCCCTCCACAATGTATGTCATTAGATCAACCTGTACTGCTCCCCACTGTGTCTCTGATGAATCCTCTCATGCCCCGTAACTCTGGCCTGCACTCCAGTTTTTCTATGCATAAATAAATAAATATTTTTTTTAAATGTGAGATTAAAATCTGGGACCTTTAGATGATAAATGTTCAATAACGTCACCTGATTTTTGCTGAGTCTCAAAAGACTTTCATTTTGGCACATTGCTCTTTATGCCAGTTCTGATTCTGAGATGTTATGCAAATAAGATGAAGAGGAAATAGCCTCCAATTTTATTTTGGAGCTCAGAAAATGTCCGTTTTGGGGCCTCCCCGGTGGCGCGGCGGTTGAGCGCTGGGTTGCGAAGCTGCCCGCAGCCTCTGCGGCGCCGGTTCGATCCCCGGCTGCTCCCCGGCCACCAGAGGAGGGTCCCGCATGGTGCGCAGACCTCTCCTGCCGCCCGCTGCTCCCCTCAGCAGTGTACTTCGGTCCTTCTGCCTGCTCTGCTCCCCGCTCTGGTGAATTCTCTCACCCTCCCGTGCTTCTGACTGTACCCAGTGCTTGTGTAAATAAATAAAAATAAATCTTTAAAAAAAAATCTTTAAGAAAATGTCCGTTTTGTATGGCCAGGCAATCAAAATCAACATAATTAAATTAAACTTTTGCAAAATTACTGATTCACATAGATAACCATACTTTTTTTCAGAGAAAGTATGTGAATTCGATGACCCAGCCTGCCTCTAACAGGGAGCAATGAATGCTGCTGTACAAATTCTTGTTGAGACACACATCTGGGCATTTTGATAGGCTAGAATCTGAAAGATCTGAATCTGAAAAATTGCACACAACTCTCTTCCAGAACATATGATATGTTTTGTGTGAAAAACAAAGAGAAGCTCCAAATCAGAGACTGGATGGTCAGAAAGTTTCAAAAACATTTAGGGTTAGTTCTCTATGAGAAATTACTTTATGGCTCTGTGATTTATTAAGGTCTCTGGTTTTCTAATTCAAACTTGTGCATTCAAATGGTTATTGTTCATTCTGAATCAAACTGAAAAAATGTGCTTGTACTGAGTCCAAAGTCATTGGACATTGTCTTGACCAGTCCATCTACTTGGCACCCACTGCTGTTGTGGTAGGCAGGCAATGGGTCTCAACAAAGATTTTATCAGCACGTGGAAGGGAATTTTCTCAGCACCAATGATAGGTGAGATTAGGACAAGAATCTAGGATTAGAAATCAAATTCACAAACTGCATTATTCATTTTATTAAATTAAATAAGGAAAATTCTTCATCAACAAAAAGGATAGAATCAGTGGCTCACATTAAAGGCAATTATTTTATTTGTTGTGAAATGTCTGAACTCAGTCCCCTGAGAGTAATTCATCTCAATGTATTTCTTCAGTTTAGCTGAAACATTTTTAACAATAATAAACATGAAATGTCTCCACATTTAACACACCAACAGAGAAAAGTAAGAACCCCACTCCGTCTGCCTCAGCAGCAGACCCATGTGTGAAGGATAAACAAACAAAAGTTTTAGAAAGCATGCAAAGGAGCGTTCCACAATCCCAGGGCAGCTATTTCATCCTTGTGGACCTAAAGCAAGGTAGAAATTAAAGAACAATAAAAACCCTGAGTTAATATTTTATACAGACACTCAAAATGTGAGAACCCAGGAATGTCACGTGGTCCCCAAAACAGGTATGAAGAAGGTTAAGCACCTCAAATGGGTGTCATAAGGCTAGGGTGTTGGGTCTTCTCTCACATCTTCTGCACAAATGCCCCATTTTGCTGCAGTCTCTTGATGTCTCCTCTAGTTTCCACAGGCTTCTTGGAAGAGAAGAATGGCTAATGAAATTCTCTAGAAAATAAATGTAAAATTTCCAAAATACTGCTTAGAAAAATAATACAATGTTCAAAAACAGTTCAGGGCTTAAAACAAGGACCACAAAGAAAAGATGGGGGTTCCTGGAAGCCTGCATCATACTTGTACAGGGGCAGAACAAGTGCTCTTGACTGTGTGTGCCCAAAGTACACACCTCCTCCCTCTCCCCAAGAGTCCCTGGACCCAGGACAAGCTCCTGTCCCCAGCTGGGATCCCAAGAACCCAGAAAAGTCTGCAAAGGCTAGAGGGAGTTCAGGAATATGAAACAGAAGTGGTGTTTTGAGTATAAAGACCCAAGGTTTAAGACACACAGAAAATGGTAGGACAAAAAAGGAACTCTTGAAATGTTATATTACATAAACCAAGTGAAAGAAAAGAAAACCAAAGAAAGAACCAACATTGAAATTAAGTCCATAAAAAGGCTTTCCCAAGAAGGGTATATAAAGGGGGTGACCTAGAACATATTTCCTGAAGGTGATATTTCAGAAACATATAGAAAAATGAAACCAGCATGTGAGGTTAACTGGATGGCCTAGTGTTTGGGGACTCAGGATTCACCATGTGGGCATCTGCTATCCACAAACCTCCACAGAAAGGCCAATGCCCATGGAACAAGGATGTGTGAGAACACCTCAGACAAATTCAGAGAAAGATACAAAGTATTTGAACTTTTGAAAATATGTTATATTTAATAGCTGTGTCCACACTAATGAAAAACAAACTTTTTTTTACTGATAGCCTTTAACCAAATAACAAAAGATTAACTATTGTGAGTTTTTTTTTTTACTCATCAAAGTACCCCTCAGAGTTTGAGAACCTAATCAAATATAATAATGCTTTGCTATGTTGACATATTTCTCTCAGGAGAGGTAAGTGAAGCATATGCTTTATTCCAATCCTTTATAAAGCACTTGGTATGGATTCCATATGGGTAGCAGAGACTCACTGCTGGTCAACTCCCAGAAACATTTTCTCTTCTCTGATGTGAGGGTCAGTGCCTCTGCAGAGCAGCTAAATCCAAGGTAATCAGTGTATATCTGGTCACAGAGCAGATATAGTGTCCCTGAATCCCCACAAGAGATTGAATGTTGATCCCAACCAAGCCACTTAGAATCCCAAGTTTAGGTGGTTAGAACCCACACCCCCAACCAACCACCTGCTGAAGTTCCCATGTTAATGAAAGAGCATCTTTACTGGAGATGTTTCACGATTCTGAGGTTTTTACATCAGGCAATGTTTGGTAGGTCTATTTAGTGTCTCAGGATTCTGAAAAATGGTAATGTCTGCTCACAGTAAACATGTTCAGGAGCTTCCATTCCTACCGTGGGCCTCTGTTCCACCAGTACCTACCTGTCCTCTTCCACCATTCTGATCGCACACTCCACTGCAAAGTGCCATCAATTCTCAAGTGTACATCTCTGAAAACCAAGCACCCAGGTGTGGCCAGGACCAAAGGAGGGAGTATGGGGGCAGCAGTTCATCAATAATTGTTGACATGGAAAGATCAAACAGATAGCCAGCAGCTAATTAGGTGGGATTTGGTAATTAAATTCATAGACTTTGATCTTTTCTTCAAATATTTCCAAATAATCCATTTTACTGAGCTTCAGACATCATAACATTTCTTCACAATTAGAAGGGGCCTCTCTGGATGACCTTTCCAGCCAAGGACCCCAGGACTACAAATAAGCAAGCATTCCTCCCAAAGACATGGGGAGACTCCTGCCCCTGAACCAATGGAACCAGCAGCCTGAACTGAACTGCGCAGCCTGGCCTTCTTAGCCTGGCCAAACCCCTGAGGTCTCCACCCCCCAGGTTTTCCCCAGACAGCTCGGCTGGCACATTAGACAGAGCAAGTTTCCTCTTGTGCCAGGAGAGACACTGCCCCAGCCACACACCCTCCTTCGCAATGTGGTGCCTCTTGAACTAGAGTAGGGTGCTTGCCAAGTCACAAACCTGCCTCCTGAACTGAATCATTAGGACCCCATTAAGAAGTCCCTCCAGGGCCTCCCTGGTGGTGCAGGGGGTTAAGACACAGCCTATGAAGCTAACCACAGCCACTGCAACACAAGTTTGATCCCTGGCTGGGGAGAAACCCACATGGTGCGGCAGACCTCTCCTGACTCATCCGCTGCTCCCCCAGCAGTGTATTTCATCAATCTGCCTATTCTGTTCCCCACTCTGTCTCTGGTGAATACTCTCATCCAACTACCCCAAGACTTTGGCTTGTACCCCACCTCTTGTATGCATAAAAATAAAATAAATCTTTAAAAAAAAAAAAAAGATGTCCTCCAGAGTACCTAGTCTACAACTTTCCTTGTCTCCATGAAGGACAGACAATGCAGGAAACATCATAGCGGAAAGGGGGAGCAGTTGTGAGCCAACATGGCCTTGGTGGGAAGTTTTATTCAGATTGCTTTTATGCTGTATTAAAGAGAAGGGGATACTGAGAAAATGCAGGAAAGACTTGCTTGCTGGTCTTCCATTTTGAAAAACAGATGGACTCTCAAGGAGGGAACTGATTGGCAGATAATGTGCATCAGTGTTTAGGATCCATTACTAGTGCACACATCGTCACACTTTTCACCAAGAGAAAGTGCACCCACAGAACCCTCAGACCACGTCTGACACTCAGGTCTTGTTTCTGCAATCTTGCTACCACACCCCCAACCCCCACACATAGGAAAAAAAAAATTGGAGATTGTCTTAGGAAATAGGCCTGCCAAGCATAATAGAGTCTCTCTTCCCAGTGGGAAAAATCATCCAATTTTATTACTCACCTAAGTAGCTGTTTAGTGATTCACTTTTGCTGCAAGATAAAGCCTAACCCAGTCCCTTATATAATATTCTAGAGCAGTGAAGTTTTGGAGAGAGCCCAGGGTCCTACTGGCCCACTGCAACCCCTACCCAGACTTGCAGCAGCACTGAGAGATGAAGGGCTGCTCTCTCTGTGCTGCCGATGGGTGCTGAATCTCCAAGAAATCAACTCAGATTCTCTGGTTAGCATGGTCATTCCATCAACACCTAGAAGCTGGGCCTCTGGCACAAACATAGTCCAATATACAGTTCCACCACTTTTTCCTTTACTCAGAATGAAAATAACCACTTAGGAGGAAATGGTTGTCCAAGGGCAAACCATTACCTCTGAGTGAAATGAGAACCCACTCCCAGTGCTGTTTCTGCAGATTTCCCAAACCAAACAGGAGCCTAAGCGTCTGGACTTTTCTATTATTTCACCTCTGTGTAAAGCACTCATAACCATCAAATGAACACAATCTTTTAACACAAAACAATAGAAAGTGAGAAGACTGTTTCATTACTTTTCCATCTCTGGCTCAGTCATGAAGAGGCTATTCTGGGCTGATGCTTACAGGAAGTACCAAAAACCTCAGGAGAAATGGAGTTCCTGCAAAATTTCCAGCTGAACCTCACAGGCTGTTTGAGACATTCAGACAGGAATGAAGATCCAAACTGAAGATCCAAACATGTGGGTGCTTATCTGAACTGAACCCAAACCTTTGGAATTTTACACCTCACTCTTAAAAACCTCCCCACATGCTATGACTTGCAACTCCTGAGGCACTGTATCTTGAGAGTAAGAGTCACCTTTACATACACCTGTTCTGCCCAGGGTGCTTGAGAATCCAGAGGCAGACACACTGTGCTTCTTCTAACTGTGTAATGCTCTGATTCATTCTCATGGCCTGTGCAACCACTGAACTTTTAAAAGCAAGCCCACTAGAACACTTCATAGTTAGATGATCATAGGAGGGCTTTATAATAAATCCACTTGGAGCAACTCAGAACAGGTATCAGCTAGAAGGACAATTAGAGTGTAAGTCGTGCCAGGAAACTCTTGCCAGTTTTTACCTGTTGAAGCAATTGGGAAATAGACCCCTACTTGCTGAAAGCTGTGCGTGTACATGCATGCACATTGTGGGAGGGTGAGCAGGTGTTTGTGAACCACAGTTATATCCTTAACAATGCTCCCTGTCTCATTAAAAAAGAATGCTTGGTGCTCAAACTCTTACAAGAAGGAGGAAAACATCCCATGAAGTTTGAAATTTGATGGGGTGACCAGTGTTTCTGTGTGGAAGAAAGTGAATTCCCACAGCCAACACGTTTCGGGTTATCTTTGTTTGAAAGCAACTAGCTTTGGCTTTTTCATCCTCATTTTTCTTTGCTGCCAAACAGTAAGAAAGGAAATAGAGTTGGTGGCCAGGCCCAAGGACACCATCAATCGCTTCCTCGCTGTCTGGGCCAGGATATGCCCAGGAGCAGCATTTCCCCAGCATGGCATGAAAAGAACAAAGAGACAATAAAGTAATTCAGTGAGCAATTCCTGCTGAGAAATGAGTCCCCTTGTCAAGTCAAATCTAGTTGCACAGTGACTCTAAATCAGTGTTTCAGTGATAACAGATAAAATGCTTCCCTTATGCCACAAATATGAGTCAGACTGTTCTCAAAGGTATGCAGAGCAGACCGATAGTGCATATGCAAATGGGTAATAGCATCCATGTTCTACACACCAACTTCTGGTTAACATACAGACATAGATAAGATGTGTTTTCATGGCAAAGGAAAGATAATTTGAGGTTTCTTTATATCTCCTCTGTTACCTCATTCTCTCCTGTATTAGAAGCTATACATTGTGGGCAAGACAGAGGGCCCTAGTATCTTCTCTCCTGCAGTATACGGAAAGTTGCTACCATGAGAAATCTGAAACCCAGGTGTAAGCACGTTAGAAACCCCTTGTTCTCAGCATCCTGCACAAGCAACAGCCCAGGTGAATCCTGCACTTTTGTTCACAGCTGCCTCCTCCCTGACCCCAGCAAGTAAAGCCACTGTGTTCAGGAAGCAGTCTATTCTCGGTCTGTGGTCTGTGGTCCAGCCTATTGTGGTTAATATTGTGGTTTCCTCCTGTATGTTTACTTCATGAAGGTACCATCTTTAATGGTGCCAAGTTAATGCCATCTTCTCCCACTTCTCCCACTCCCCAGAAATGTTTTCCTATAGCATATTCCTAATCATTAGATCACTTATAAAAATAAGCAGTTATTTTTATTTTTTCTTTCTAGCATGGGCATTTTCAAAGACCCAACCTCCACTTCTTCCTGTACACATGCTGAAGGAAAATAATGAAAATTTTGGAATGAAGCCAGCTGCAGGATTTTATTTAACCTAACCTATGATGCTCAGAGTTATAGGAGAAAAATAGCAGAAAAATTGGAAGCCTGGACTGGAAAATGGACCAAACCCAGGAATCATGGTTGAAAATGGTGGATATGGACCCTCATGGACAGGGTGGGCAAACCACTGCATTCACAGATAAGCAAATATCCAATCTAGTCAACTAGCACTCACCTACTCTACTTTGCAACTCTGTGTGCAACTGGTTGCTGGTAATCTTACTCTGTCAGCAGCTTTGAGAGAAACTGGTACTTGTACTCAAAAGGAAGCCTGAGAAAGACTCTCTGGCAAAGAACTCCAAATCTGAACACAGGAACCTGAGTTTGCCAGAAGACAGCTGCTTTCTGGCCTTTAGCTTCAAAGACAAATACATTTACTTGTAAAACATTAACTAGGGTGTTAAAATGCTTACAGCACTGTTAAAAGGGGGAATGGCATGTACACTAATTCAGTGTCCGTCATTCCCTCATTGAACATTTATCTTAAACAAACTCTATTCTGGAAAGTCAGTGCTTACCACCTAACACCATCCTCTAAGTGGACAACCACCAAGACAGACAAAGGAATCCATTTTCTCTGTTCAATACCCTCATCCATTACATCTCTATTCTACTGCCATTGGACAGAAACCCTTTCCCAAGTGAACTAAAGTTTTTAGGGTCATTCAAAGGCAGTAGAATTGCAGCAGGCTTGCTTTCAGGTAAGCACTATAAAGAAATTCCTGCCTGGGTGGAAAATGCTTTCAAAGCCAGCTTTTCTAACTCATCGAAGCCAATCTATGGATGTGAGTATTTCACAAGGGTTTTCTCATGTTTTCCATTGTTTTCTTTCCAGAACACATCCTAAATCTGGAGCCCTTTACATTTGTGTCTCTAATAAGCCATTTGCACACGGTTTTGATATTTCAGTGGGTCTTGAATATCTTTAAAGTTTTCCATCTTTGGGATGGATAGATACATTCATTGCAAAATAGATCACCTGTAAGTCAGTAAACAAGCTCTTCTGTGAGCTGCTTGCTGGCATTACCTCCTTAAACCCTCATCAGCACTTTTGAGGTAGATGGCAAGATAGATGGCTTTATTATTCCCAACATTACAGATGAGGAAACTGACAGAGCATGGAAGTCACTTACACAGATCACAAAGCAAGGGAATAGCAACTCTGATGCTTTAGCTAGATAATTCAGCTCAAAAGCCCAAGTATTAAACCAAAGCTGGACTCCCACTGGCAAACAAAATATCAATAGTTTCTGCCCTGGTAAATTTTGAAAAGGAGAACATGGGTTATAAACAAGTGCATATAATGTATTAAATAATTTCAGGAGGAATAGAAAGTATAGTTGCTATGGAAAAATGTGACCTTGACACCTTGAATTAGCAGTTTCCTTATATGGAAATACAACCCACCTAAGAGAGAAAAGAAGTTCACAATAGACCTTCTTTCCTCTGAGATCTTGATCCATGACTAGAACAGGTTACATTTTTTAAAAGGAACTGAATAATTATATAAAATACTTAAAATTGTTAATTGTTCATTTGTTCCCATTTAAACCCTAAGAAAGTCACTAACACAATTCCAACCTTTTGAAAAATTCTACAAAGTGACATCATTTACATTTTTCAAAGGCTGTATAGTTTCCTCTGAGTCAAAAATAAGTATTTGCCCAAGATTTAGAAACTAAAGTAGAAATGAATAAATGTTCATGTTGGGGTCATGTGAAAAATTCATCTTTCGAAAATTTTTTTTACTCTCCTCTAAAGCAGAGCAAAAACTATGCCATCCCAAAATGTGTCTCTTTTGACAAAAGGTCAATTTCATGGGAGGAACTCTGAAGACTAGGTAGTAGGGATTGCCTCTGAAAAAGAAGCAGACTTCTCTAATGGTTGGGCTGGAAAGACAATTCCCTATTGTCTTTTCAATGGGGAAAAAAAACCACAACAGAACTTAATCTGCATATTTTTGGCTACTGTATCTTCTTTTATAACCTCCTTAATTGACCTTCCTTTTCCCTATGTCCTTCTGTCTTAGCTATGCTATGTAAGATGGACTCTGAAGCGACTGGGGTAAGTAACTCAATAATATTGGATCTCTCCTATGTAAACAAGAAATGTACATGTTATCATTAAATTTCTTTCTGACTTTTTCTCTTATCAATCTGTCTAATATTTGTTTGCCAGTCTAGAGAAACCTTGAAGGGTGTACAGGATGATTTCTTTTGCGCCTGGACAGGTTCAAGGAAATGTCAATAGTGAAGCAGGAAATTGAAATTGAACCCAGAACAGGAAACTTGCTTTTATCAGGGTTTAATAAAAAATTATTCATGGGAAAGGAATTAAAAGATACTGATCAGACTAAAATATTTTAATTTATCCATGAATTTCATTTATTTCTACTATTTTATTATCAACTAGCATGTGTTAAGTCTGCATAACATTTTAAATGCTAAACTTGGACTGTAATATATTTAAGTCTTTTCAGACAGGTATTATCATAACCATTTCACAGAATGTAGAAATGAATCACTGTAACTGTTATAGGGCAGCCCCGATATTGAACGGGTTCCTGGCTGTGGGTCCTCACCCGCGCGCTTAAAAGGGACTTAAGAATACTCCACTACAGGTGTTAGGGGGAAATGATGTCCTGAGTTAATCCCATACAGGCTTTGTGGACCCCACCCCCACTCCAGACTAAAGCCATCAAGACGTTGGGAAAGACAAATCCCATCACCACCAAAGGGAGGGTGGCTGGGACCTGAGGGTGGAGTTGGGCAGCCAGGTTGGATATAAAAACCAAACACGTGGGCCTTGGGGTCACTGGCTCGCGATTGCTCGCCTCCTGGCTTCACCGCTCCTGGCTGGCGGCGAACTCTGAGAGCGCCATTTTGGGATTCCTGATCGGCGGATTGGGTAGGATTCAGTTAAAACTTTGTCTCCCACTTTTCTCCCAGAGCTGTACATTTCCTCATTTCCCCTTCCCTTGTAAATAAACCTTTTTTATTAACCTTTCACGTGTGCCTGCAGTAGAGCATTGATAAGTCCTTTTAAGCGCGCGGGTGAGGACCCACAGTCAGGCACCCCGTTTTGTATCGGGGTTGCTCTACAACACAGGCACACACAAAAGGTTAATAAAAGGTTTATTTACAAGGGAAAAGTAAATAAGGAAAATGTACAACTCAGGGAGAAAATAGGGAAATAAAGTCTTTAATGCGTCCTACCCGATCCGACAACCTGGAAACCCAGTCACTCTCAGAGCTGGCGAGCTGGCGGAGAGCCAAAATGGGGATCCCCAAAGCCCACGTGTCTGCCTTTTATATCAGCCTGGCTGCTTAACCCCACCCTCAGGTCCCAGCTACCTTCCCTTTGGTGGTGATGGGATTTGGAGTTCCCAGTGTCTGGCTTTGGCCTGGGGTGGGGGTGGAGTCCACAAAACCTGTATGGAATTAGCTTTAGGACATCCTTTTCCCCCTAACATAACAACTAGTCTCTAATAAGTAGCTTCTCATTGCCTGGTGTTATTCTACACACTTCAAGTTTTAGTGGACATTTTCTGTTGACTACTATTTCAGTACCTGAATCCCCATCCTACTGGATGAAATGTGTCTACTTTCTTTAAACACATATCTTGGTGCCTTGAAATCTTACCTTTCGCATGGATCATGGAAACCAAAGGACATGTTTCCTTCACAGCAACAGTGGAATTGAATCTTGTGGACTCCCAGCCAGGACTCAGAGCTGTCAAGATTAAGCCATGCTTAGTTCCTGCTTATTTTCAAACTCCACTTCTGTAACTGGGCCATGGTGCTTTCTCATTAGTTCATTTCTTCAGTTAACCAGAGGTCATCTATGCTGTTTGCAAGCAAGAATTTTAGATAAAGCATATGCATTTTCTCATTTAATCCTCTTGGCAACCAAATGAGGTAGTTACTCTCCCTATGCTTGTTTTATAGGCAAGGCACAGAAAGATTTCCTACCTTACTCAAGATCGCCCATTTGATGCTAATGTTGAAACCTGAGCAGTATGACTCCAAATCCAGCTTGACTGTATTTAATATCTTGCCCAACAACTCTGTGTTAGGTCACTATCTGGTTGTACCACATCAACTCTCTTGTCTTTATTTTAAGCCCAACTAAGACTCAGGGAAGATACAAGAAACCCAGAAGAATAGATTCCGGAGATTACTGTAATCCAGAACATACCATTTCTAAGCCTGTTCCCTAGAGCCTAGAACCTTTCAAATGCTCCATATTCCAATTCTGTTTCTGGATGGCAAGACTGCCCTTTCCAAGTGGAGCCCTAGTTGCCTTACTGTGATTTCATCCCAAATGACAGAGGGTCAGATAAGGTAGTCCAGAGTGGCTCATTATTTAACACAGATTTCTAGGAGGCAGAGCTCCCAGCATATCACTGAGGAAAGGTTCCCACCACTCCTGTACCTGCAACCAGGCAATGGAATATTTCTTCTTTTTGAAAAATCCTCCTTGTTTCCATAAATCTAAGACCTCTTAAGTTCCCCAACTCTGCATAAAGGTACAGTGTTTCCTCTTCACAAACAGCATACTGTGCCCTCCTTTCTCATCAAGGCAAGGGTCACTAACAGCCTGTTGAAAACAGCCTTTCCTTTGAGAAATGTTTGTGTTGCTTACTTTCCCTGTAGTTCTGAATCTCCATTCCTTGTCAATTTAAAGTTTCAGTGAGGGTGCTGCATTGAGAATAGCTTCAGCCTCTCCAGCATTCAAGGCAAATGGAAGACCAAAACAAAGATTAACTTCCTAGCCCTGGGGGATTGTGAAGCCTCTGAGAGTGAGGTGGGCCCCTGGGCACCATGGAATGCAGTGATTGAGGAGCTCCACAGGCAGGCAGCTCTTGACAACCACATTAACACTTTCAATGGCTCATTTCTTTAGAGGAAAATGAAAGAGGGGTCACAGAGATGTTTTTCTTCCCTAGTTCTGAAATGGTTCATTCTGCTTTTTCTGCCAGTTACTTATTGCCTGAGAAAAGTTGCTGATTGTTTTAAAGGAATTTAACACAAAGGAGAAAGAGGGGGGATTGAGTGAAATTTTCACTTTGGGTTTCCATTTCAAGGGGACTACTGAGCAACCAAACTGAAAATACAATTATGAAGATCATGTTTGGTTTGGAAGCTGAGCTAGTCTAGCAATTTCATGAGTGGATGGTGTGAGATTCTGGTGTCTTTTTGTGATCTCAGGTAAAAATCCTTTCAGATGAGTCAATATGGATTAAAATAAAACTAATTTTTTTTTTATCTGTAAGGTAAGATATGTCATCCTCCCTATTTTTTCTTGTGAAGAGTTTCTATAAAACACATGCTTTATATAGTATCCTAATATATTTTTTAAATATATTAATGTTAATATAATTAGAATTTATATGCAAACACATGTATGTCCACAAATTGTAATTTTTCTTAATTCCTTGTTATTAGTTGTCTCATTGTAGTCAATATGTATTATGCCATTTGCACTAAGCAATTTAGAATTTGTCTCATTAATTAAAATTTGAAAAGTGGAATTAACAAAATTCCTTGTATTTTTAGCAGATTTTGACATTTACCCCAATAATATTCAGAGTCAAAAGGAATCACTTTGGCTCTGAAGAACAGTCTGCTTTCAGGAACACTTCCAGGAAGAAGTCCATCATCCTGAACACAGAACCTCCTCCTTGCTCAAAAAATTTTCAGCAAAACAGTTATTTTCTCTACCCCACAGTACAATGGAAACAAACTCCAAGTACAGATCCCAAGGAATGTACACAAGTTCTCCTGCTGATTGACCTTGAAGTCATAAGCTATTTTGTTGAGAATTTTTGGGAAAGTGAGTTTCACTGCATAGTCAGGAAAAAGAACTCTTCCTCCAACAGGGACTTCCTTGGAGTGAGAATAGGGAGTCACCATGATATAATATGAGAGACTGTCCTGGTCACTCTCATCCACCTAGAGATGCAAATTCCACCATAGTGCTGATCCCTTTAGCTTTAAATTTATATTTTAAAAAAGTATTTAATAAAAATGCAGCTGCCCTAAAACTGTAAGAGGCTATAACTAGATGGGAACAGGGAAGGGCAGTCTCTTTGGAGATCTCAGCCGGATGGTAGGGTGTGAGTAGGGCAGCCCCTGAGAGGGAGCAGTCTGGTGACTTCCACTTCCCCACTTCCTCCTCAAGCTCTCAGACATTCAATTAAATAGGGAAAGTTGAAGAATATTGTGCCAATATTTTTCTGCCCTCTCCTGGAGCCTATGCTGATGATCTGGGTGCTGAGTATGGAGCATAACATGTGCAGCAAATAGGATTAGTGTCGTTTCTACCGATCCAGAGCCCCAGGCACAGAGAGAGGTGATGAGAAAGGGATAGGTGTCATGCCCCTCAACTTATCAGCATTAAAAGAATAAAAAGGAAAAGGGTACTACACCTGAGAAACCATTTGTTTTGTGGGTTTCACAAGTCATTGGTAAAGCTTGTTTGAGGGTGGAAATGATTAGAACTTCCACTTGGATTCTTAATTAAAACTTAACAGTTTTTTTTTGTTTTTTTTTTTTTTAACTTTCTGCTAGAGATGGCTAAGGGGACAATGTGCATTCTCTGGCATTCCCTGGTGTCAAAGTCATGGAGGGCTCCTTGACCTCTTTCAGGATGAGATGAAATCCAACGTCTGTCTTTCATGGGAGCCATGGGAGAACAGGGAGATGGGGGTGGGGGAGTTTAAACACTAGGAAAATGAAAAGAGATGTGTGGAGGCTGGTGGGAATGCAGAGATCGGAAACCTTCCTGGCTATGGCAGCATCTGAGCCCCACTCATCCCAGAGTCCCCTAGATCTTTAGGAGGCTCAGAGAATGGCACTAACCAGAGAACAGCTCCTCTCCTCTCCCAGAAGGAGAGCTGCTTGGAAGCCTCAGCAAGTCTTTTTCAGTGATTTCTTTGCAATGACTTTTGAGAGCCAAGGTGGGAGGGGGTGGCTAGGGAGACAGACTGGGACTAGTCCTTAAAACAGCAGAGAAGAGTTGGTCTGATTTGCAGCATGGAAAGCACAGGCCAAGAGGAGTCTGCTCTGCCCGCTGCCTGGAGGTGCAGGCCAGAGGGCACCTGGAAGGCGGAGCTGGGGGTTGGGGGGTTACACCCTGGACGCTGCCTACCAAGCAGGCAGGCTGACCATCAATCACCACTGCCCGGTGGCAAGTTTGCCTGAGCTGGCGCCACCCTGCCTGCTGTGGCCCCACAGCCCCCAACAGGAACCTCACTGATGTCAGTGGCCTGTCCCCACAGTGACAGTCACATACAGCCTCTCCCCGATCCTGCTATTGCTCCTTGGGACACTTTGGTGGAGAACTGAGCTTCTAATATCCTCCAGCATGAAATCCGTTCCTGGAGGGAGGCTGCCTCTTGCCCACTCGGACATTTGTCTGAGCCAGCCTGCAAACCTGCTCCCAGCATGGGTCTCCAAGGGAAAAAAAAAAAAAGTGAACCACTTTTTTAGTAAATTAAATCAGTGTGCCACATCTTCTTGATCCAATCATCTATTTTGGGGCATATATACACAAGGGAATATTATTCAGCAATCAGAAAAGATAAACTCATGCCATTCACAGCAACATGGATGGAGCTAGAAGGAATTATGCTCAGTGAAATAAGCCAGAAGGAAAAAGACAAATATCGGATGGTTTCACTTATAGCAGGAATATAGGGGAACCAAATAAGATATCAGTATAAAAAAATAATAGCAGTACAAAACACAACAAAGCAAAAATGGACAATTATAAATCAGAGACATCCTGCAGGGAGGAGGAGGGAGAGGGATCAGAGGGAGGGAGGGAGGAGCACAGGGGACTGAGGTGATGGTGCACGGGTGCATTGGTGAAGGAAACTCTATGGGGACTACACCTGAGGGGGTGGGGGGAAGCAAATATTGTTCTTTTTTTTTTAAAAAAAAAAAAAGATTTATTTATTTATTTATTTTATACAAGCACTGGGTACAATCACAAGCGTGGGAGGGTGAGAGAATTCACCAGAGCCAGAGCGGGGAACAGAACAGGCAGACTGACGAAATACACTGCTGAGGGGAGCAGTGGGTGCGGCAGGAGAGGTCTGTTCCACCATGTGGGACCCTCGCCTCTGGCTGGGGATCGAACTGGTGCTGCAGAGGCTGCGGGCAGCTTCGCAGCCCAGTGCTCAACCGCTGCGCCACCAGGGGAGGCCCAAAGCAAATATTGCTTAAAAATGAAGAATGATGTAAAAAAAATTTTAAAAAGTGATATAATTTTTTTTTAAATTAAATCAGTGTGGATTATCAACTTTGGGAAAGAGATGTGTTGGTTTTTCACTGTTCTTCTTCATCATCCCCAACTCTATAAAGATCCTCTAAAAGTCATACTTCTGCTGGAGCAGAGTCTCACTTTCCCAGTCCACCCTGTGCACAGCCATTGCTCAGGTCAATGAGGAAGCATGAGTGACAGGGATGTCCAAGACCACTGCTGAGGCAGTCCTGCTTTGGAACTCTCAGGGACTTTTCATTTAGGAGAGTGTTAGGTGAGTGTTATGGTGGAAACACTACTTTTTTGTCGGAAGCAACATCTCCCTTGTGCAAGCAAAGCACACTTTCTCACGTCAGTGTCTGAAGAGAAGGTCCATGCTGAGAGTCTTGCAGTCGTGGGTAATCTGGGGTTCTCCTGGTCCTCGACTTCCTTAAATAGGAAAAAAAAAAAAATCAGCAAATGGAAGACTGCTTTAGATTTCCTCTCTCCTGTCCCTATCCACCCACACCCATCTTTTTCTCCCACCATTATTTAAAAGCCAGGAGACTTATAGGCAATATCTACCCAGTCAAATGCTTCTACCTTTGAGCAGAACACAATTCCAGGGCTCTGGGGACCTTTACTAAGCAGGTCACAGGTACTCAGGCTTTTAAGAACATTTGATTTTGTTTAACTTGTATTGGAGAAAAAACCCAAGTGAAATAATGTAACACCTATTCAAGTCAACATTGGTTGAAACCCTCTTTATTTTTAGAATGCAAATTCCTTCACTTCCCAGGTTTCCTGTGATGGCTGCCTTTTCAGTGTAAGTTGATTAATTCCCTAAAAGCTGGCTGAAAAATAATCTGAAATAGAGCTCTTCCTCAAATAAACCAGCAAGTAGTTTTAGGGCATGAGTTCTTATTTTATTTTGTTT